TGTTGATTTACAAAAAAGGTCGGTCAAATATAGGTTAAGACGCGTTACAAAAATTTCTCAAAATTATTTTGGATTCATATTGGGAAAATTTACTATGGAAGCTATACATTTACTTAGAGCTTTGATGGAGAAGTACATAGAGAGTAAGGTGGATTTGTATATGATTTTTGTTGACTTAAAAAAAAACTTAAAAGTTCCAAGATAAATATGTGTTGTTATTGCTTATATTCAAGTCATTAAAGATATAAATGATATAGTTGTTATTTGTTTGATCAAAGAAATGATTGATCAAGTATTTTCCTATTTTAGTTGGATTATATTAGGGATCAACTTTAAGCCCTTATCTTTTTAATGTAAAATTTATATGTTCTTATTAGACATTTATATGAGGATGTAAATCGATGTATGCTTTTCATTATTAATATCAGTGGATAAGATAAGAGAGAGAGAGAGAGTTCAAGAAAAATTTGAATTATGGAGGTCTACTTTAGAGTCTAAAGGGTTCTGTTTGAGTAGATCTAAAATTGATATGTTGAATTTAATTTTAGTAGCAGTAGACCGAGTGGTGGGGTTATAATAATGGGTGATCAAGCCATTAAAATGATTGGATAAATATGCCTAACAAATCTCAACCTTGGCAAATATCTAGCCTCTTAGGAGAAATACATCATGGAGTTTCTTATGACAAATCTCCACCTTGGCGGATATCCAGCCCTTAGGAGAAATACATATGCCTAACAAATCTCCACCTTAGCGAATATCCAACCCCTTAGGAGAAATACATATGCCTAACAAATCTCCACATTCGCGAATATCCAGCCTCTTAGGAGAAAATACATCATGGAGTTTCTTATGCACCAATGTAGGTTGGGTCACCATGCTTCCATTGCTCCCTCACTTTTCAAGAAGTTCAAGCGATGCAAGAACTTGTAGACACTCCTCTTCAATTCTAAGAGACATCTCTTCATTCCAAGAGATTCCAAATTCTGGTATTATGAGCCATACCGAACAAATCTTCATCTTGGAAAATATCCAGCCCCTTAGGAAAATACAAATACCCAACAAATCTCCACCTTTGCGAATATCCAACCCCTTAAGAGAAATATATATGCCTAACAAATCTAGAAGAACACAGAAGAACACACAGAGATTCAGAGATTTACAAGGTTCAGCAAAGATGCCTACATCCTCGGGAGCAAAGCGACGACTTCATTTTCAATATTCAAAAAAGAGTACATAATACAAGATTCAACTCCCCTAGGGTTACAGAGAGGACATATATATAGTCCTATAGTATAATATGTAACTACTTAAATTACCTTTGTACCAAACCGCGGGGTGTTGCCCCTGCACCCCCAACCCACATAATGAAACTCCCACAATTAGATAGATCCTTCCGCTCCACTCCACTCGTGGGCTCCGCTCTGCTCCAGCATCTATCCCATTTATGGTATATGAGCCATACCTAACAAATTGCACCAATGTGAGTTGGGCCACAAATCCTTTTAAATAATCGATTAATTAAGATTCCCTTAATTAAGTTTTCCAGAAAAAAAGACTTTTCCATAGTTAAATTTTCCTTACTTAAACTTTCCATGAAATCATTTTCCTTAAACTTCCAAATAAATCTTCGCCTCTGCTTTACAGAAAAGCTCATTTTTCCTTCCAAAAAAGCTCTGTTTTCCTTCTTAGAAAAGCTCCGCCTTCCGAAAAGCTCCGCCTTCCGAAAAGCTCCGTCGTTTAGAAAAGCTCTGCCTCTGCTTTCCTTTTAGAAAAGCTCGGCCTCCGCTTCCTTTCAGAAAGAAAAATTTCCTTTCCCAAGTGCAGTAGCAGATTCCCTTTCTTTGCCTTTCTTGAGTCATGGAATATCTTTGGAATATATCGACGCTAAATTACCATTTCAGCGGACTTTCTTTTTCCTCGTGAATTTCCTTTTTTTTGCAGCCGCCCTTCCATTTCTGCAGCAAGAATATCTCCAGAAAAGCATCAAAGGAATAAAATAGGATTCTTTCAGCAAAGGAAAATCACCACAAAAGCAAAGGAAACAAATCGTATTCTGATCGCAGTCCCGCAAAAGAATAAAACCGGGCACCTCCGATTTTTACCTCCAAACTTCCAACAGCAAAGGGATCGATTTTCGTCTCCCAGCAAAGGGAATCAAATCCCTTCCAAATCGAAGGAATTTCCTTCTCCTTCTTCAAATTTGTCCAAAAAATAATTGAAATATTCCATCTGGTGGAGATGGAAGATTCATTGATTCTCTTCTGGCAAACAACCTGCAGCGAACCGCCTTCGGCTTCGCCTTTCCAAACTCCTGCGTTGGCGGAAACCTCCCGCGAACAATCCTTCGCGCCTCCATCTGCTAACTTCCCGCAAACGCCTTCAAATTTGCCTTCGCAAATCGGTCCTCCCGATCAATTTGCGCTCTTCGCGAACTCCTCGCTGCCTGCTCCAACAATCTACCGCGAACCTCTGAAGTTCTTCGCCGAATCATTGAAGCCCCGAAATTCATTGAACTCCTCTGCTCTAGCTGCCAAATATCCTCTGCCAAAATCTTCCTTAATCTTGAGCCGCCAAAATTTTTCTTCCCTGCTTTTGAACCAGACTCTGATACCACCTGTTGAGAAATTAGGGCGACGAAAAATAGGAATCGATAGAAAGCCAGAAGAACACACAGAGATTTACGAGGTTCAGCAAAGATGCCTACATCCTCGGGAGCTGAGCGACAACTTCTTTCAATATTCAGAAAAGAATACATGATACAAGATTCAGAATCACCAAAGGCTCAGAGGCAAACCTAGGGTTACAAACAGGACATATATATAACCCTATAGTACAATATGTAATTTCTTAAATTACCCCTGCACCAAATCGCGGGTTTTTGCCCCCTCCCCCCAATTGGACAGATCCTTTCGCTTCACTCTGCTCCGCTCCAGCATATGTCTCAGTTGTTGTAAAAAATGACGATAATAAAGTGAAAAATCGGATCGAGAAAAATTGTAAAACAAAAACACAATGGAAACACACATATTTATGTGGTTGGGCAAATTGCATACTTCCACAGAGCTACAAAGGATTTTATTAGCTAGAGAAATTACACCCTTCGATCACCTCGATGATTGCAAGAAAGAACAATCTCTCTTTCTCCTCTCTCCTCTCCTTCTCTCTCTTTACCCGAGAGCTTCAAACCGAAGCACGCCATAAGAAGAACTTGGAGGCTACTAATGCTGAAGAGAGATGCCTGTGAAACCAAATGCCAAGAGAGATTACAAGGAGAGCTAGCATACTTATTTATTAATTCCATCATGTCATTAGGCTCATTAAAAAATTAATCAAATAATTAATGAAGCCAATTAATTATGTCATTTTCTCTCATGTAGCAAATCATAGAAGGAATTAAGAGCAGTTAATTTAGTAATTAATTTTGAGTATTAAATCCAATTTGCTACATTTGTTAGGTATGACTCTGATACCATTTGTTGAGAAATTATGACGAAGAAAAATAGGAATCGACACAAATCCAGAAGAACACACAGAAATTTATGAGGTTCAACAAAGATGCCTACATCCTCGAGAGCAGAGTGACGACTTCCTTCTCAATATTCAGAAAAGAGTACAAAATACAAGATTCAGCTCCTCTAGGGTTACAAACATGACATATATATAACCCTATAGTACAATATGTAATTACTTAAATTACCCCTGTACCAAACCGCAGGACGTTGCCCCCGCACCCCTAACCAACATAATGAAACTCCCCCGATTGGACAGATCCTTCCACTTCACTCCGCTCCAGAATCTGTCCCATTTATGATATATGAGCCATACCTAACTAGTAGAATTCAAGTTGAATGGTTAAATTGGAGCAATGCATCAGACCTATTGCAAGATTCAAAAATCATTGCTTAGACTTAAAGGACAAATTTATGATATGCTAGTGAACCTACAATGCTTTATGACACGGAATGTTGGTCTATAAAAGAGAAACATAAAATTAAGTTAAGTGTTGCTGAAATGAGGATGCTAAGGTGTATGAGTGGATTTGCACTTAGGTGTTGTGTGGCAACATATGAGATTTATAATATTAAGTTTTAGTAAATCCCATAAATCCGGATTTAATAAATCTTGAATGGGTTAATTTTGGAAAATTGTCTGGTAACAAATATTCTAAATTTTGTAAATCTAGTAAAATTATTTGGCAATTTCTACTTGAATTTAAGAATTTGTTATGGTTGTTGGAGAGACTCGGAAGCCGCAAAGTTAAATCCTAGCCACACGAAGCTAAATCCACCGGTTGGTAGGATTTAGTAAATCCGGGACTTACAGCTGAAATTTGTGGAATCCAAATTTGTGGCATCAAGCTATTTTGTCCAAAATAGCTGTTTAGCGGGATTCTACTTAAATCTGCATAAATCCAGGGTTCAATTCATTGCCAAATAGTCTCTTAGGGTATGTTTGTCGTGACAGCAACTTTTTAAAAAGGTGGTTGTAAAGATGTGGTGGAGAAATCAACTTCGTAGAAAGCAGTTTCCTAAACAGAGTTGTGGTGACAGTTTGGAATGCAAACTTGGCAACTATCCCGAGCAAATCTGTGAAAAGGTTAGAGTAGCTCCACTGACATACAAGATTAGAGAGAGTCATCTTCAATGCTTTGGTCACATTAAACGTTAGACCATCTCATGACTCACCTAGTTGAGTAGATATTTTACATTTGACCTGTGTTAATAAAGGTAGATGTATACCTAAAAAAACTTGAACATGTTGTACAAAAAATGATGTTAATTTATTAGAATTAAATAAAAATACATCTCTCATTAAGAAACAATGGAGAAAAATGATTGATGTTGCTGACCCCACTTTGTGGGATAAAGTCATGTAATTAGTATTACATTAAAAATATCATTATTTTATATTTTAAAAAAAATATATATTTTTAAGGGTAAAGTATCATATATGTAAAAATTAAAAAGGTGCAACTTACGTCTATATTTCATGAGATTTTATAGAATAACCGAAGCCAAATTCTGAAGTGTGAACTTGTGGTTGGTCGACCGGCGATCTGGCAATGGGCGGAGACGGGAATCTCCTGCGAGTTCTGTGCTCTAGGAGGACCCTGCTCTCCCCGAGGGAGAATGGTCTTCGGTGGCTGATCGGAGCTCCACTCTTCCTCCCATCTTTCAACGTTGTTTCCTCCTTCCGATGTATCCACTACCTACATGGCGATCCTTGCTCCCCGGATTTTACCCACGAAGCAGGTCACTCCCCTCTCGGCCCTTGCTATTCTCTATCCTGAGTTCATGCTTTCATCCGCTTAGGGACGACATACTGAAATATTGTTCACTAGTTGAATCAACATTTGGAAATGAAATTTACAGATCGAATTTGAGGAAGATGTAATTTTGCAATTTAGAAGTCTACTCGTGTCTTTTGGGAAGTTTGAATTTTATTGTCCTTATTTAACTTCGCCAAACTTCAACAGTTAGTTGTTTGCATGCCATTGAAACTGGGCCAATTTCACTGCAAGGTTCTGAAAGATTATAAAACGTTAATTAAAGGGCCTAAGTGAGAGAAAGATCAAGTTCCATAAATGTTGTAAGGTGGCAATGTGGAAACAAAGGATTTGCAATTGAGTCAGAGTTCTATTTTTTGAATTGTTCTGACTTGTGGTTGTCATATTATGATAAGCTTTTTTTAAGGGCATTTGATCACTTTTGCAATGGTCCTCGAGCCAAGAAATCTTGTCTGTGTTGAAGAAAGGTGTGCTTAGGAATCTGTTAAGGAAGAAAAAAAGAAAAAAAAAGCTAAGTGTCATTGGAGAAAATGTATGTTGCATGTTTCCAACGCATTCAGTTTCCAAATTTGCTTTAAGGGTTACTCAGTTTGGCATATTGACAATAGAACGATGCTGTAGCACCTAGTACAAATATTTGTCTTTAATGGCAGAAGTTTGAGATCTTAGTTGAGATTTGGGATGGAAATAAGTCCACTCGAGCTCGATTCACCATCAACTTGAGCTTGGTTAATTAATTGAGCTCAAGCTTGAATCTACAAATTTGAGCCAGCTCATGAGTTGACTTGTTTATTATAAAAGTAAATAATATTAATTTAAGCTAATGCTATAATAAAATGATAAATAGAATGAGTAATCAAACGATAAATAATAATAAAATATTTGTTATAAAATATTAAATATCATTTTTCAAACATTTTTAATAATTTAAAGACAAAATCTTGAAGTTTAATATATTTTGAGTGTATAGTATATTAATATTTTTTAAACGAGATGATTCATGATCTAACGAGTCGAGTCAGGGTTGATTCATGATCTAACGAGTCGAGTCAGGGTTGGCTTGAGCTTGACTTGTTCGCTCATTGAGCTCAGCTCTCGAGACACTTATTGGGCTGAGCCCGAGCTAGCTCATGAATCGGCTTCACTCACTTACACCTCTAGTTGAGATGTTTGTGTTTATAAGATTTTTTTGAAAGTGCTTTAAGTGAGTAGGAAATCTTTTGTAGGTTTATGTAGCAAATCCATATAACTGATTCCAAACCTCAAAAAACTTATTTAGCTTTTGTACATTTCTAAATGATTTTCTTAACATGTCCATACCCTACACAACCTGAGAAACTTTTCTCATTTTTCTGAACACAAAATATACATAACTCAACTACTCCAAAAACCATCTTTGATAGTCAATCGGTATGAACCTTATTTAGGAAAATCCCCTTCTCATTGCTTTTATATCAAGGAATGAAGTCTAATCGTGCAATAACTATACCATCATAATATTTTGGCAATCAATATTCACCGGCTAGTTATCTTTAGTTCACATTTTCTTGGCATAAACTATCAATATTATTGCTTTATCAGTTATTTTTGAAAAGCCAGTATTCTATGTATTTGAATCTGTTTTTGACTGACTTAATTTCAAATAAAAAGTTGTTTAAATATCATTGAGTATATGCCATCGTTGAGAATAGGAGAACCATGCTTTATGATGGGGATATTCACTTTCTTTTTTGACACAAATATCCAAATTTACATATTTTTTATTTTTCAATTTGTCTGTCCTTTCTCCTCTTTCTTTTTTATCTTTTATTTGCCCAAATTTTTTGTTGGCCAATGGTAAAGCAAAAAAAGATCAAAGATGGAAAGATTATGTGTTGATAGAAGAAAAGACTTTAGGGTACTTTCGGTCTTTAGTTTCTTATTCCTATTTTTTGATATATCATTAAATAACCTTTTATCTTTTTGCTTTTCTAATTTTAGTATATGTAAAGGTAAATAATTAAAATAGCGTATAAGTTTTTTTAATTTGATTCTTTATAACATGAATTTGGGCTATGAACTATGCTTAAAAACTTTTATGTTTGAATTTTATGTTTGAAGCTTTTTGTTCATTAAACTCGTGTTAGAATGTTTGAAGAAAGTTTGATGATTCTTTCCCATATATTATGCAACAAAACTTATTTTTTATGAAAATATAATCCATTTTTTATTGCTTAACATGTACCCATCAAGAATATCGAAACTTTGTTATATAAGGAACTTGAGTACATATAGTTGCATGGGCTGTTGATTTAGCAGGAAGCACTTTCTATCATTACTAGGACAACCTAGTTCAATTCCCAAATTAGCCCTAAAGTATCTTGAATACCTTATCTGTAGTAGGGACCCTGAAGGTTGGGACATGGGTTTTTGCTGCTTTTTTGCTATGCACCCTTGTAGGTGCATTGGGTGTTGGGTCATGGATTTCAGCCATTTTATGGTGATGTCTTGTGATGGAGACCATAATTACCGTGACTGGGTAAAAACTGATGCTTCTCCATGTGTCAAAGCAATGGTTTGAAACTGACCCCAAAGGCCAAGTTTGTGTAGGTTTCAGTCAAATCCCAAAGCTATTATTAGGTTTTCTTTATGATTTTCGGTAAGAATGGTATTACTTGCTACAATGCTATGGCTTTCAAGCTTTCATTATTTCTATAGTACCATACATTTGCTTTTGATGCCATATTCGATAGCTTGTTACATGTCTACTCAATTTGTCTTAGTATAACAGGTTTTGCTTGACTTGTAGAAGGTGCACAATCAGTGGACCTATTCACTTCACTTAACCAACACATCACAAGGCTTTTCAGCTCATCACCTCGTTCTGCATTTCTCACTTTAAAGTAAATAGAACCCCCTGAAATTCACTTTGCATGCTGTTCTTTATAACCAAACTACATCATATCATAGTAATCTCTAAGGATGTTTTTAAAATCTGTGTCCTCTTCTGTTGTATTCAGTCTGGTGTCACACACACAGACAAGCAACTTTCTATTTTAGTTCAACTCGTACTTTTTTACTTTTTTAATTGAATCTTTATAGTATGCTTTTTCTTATTTATGGACCTCCATGCTTTTTGTTTTTATTTCTTATTCTATCAGTTAGTTTATTTTGTACTTATTTGATCTTTACATTGATGGGATTTCAACATATATCTACCTATGATTGTTTAAGACAGATGATATCAGGACATTACTTATAAGAGGGTTTGATATAGTTGGAGCACTATTGATTAACGATGGAGACTTGGAGTTTAATGCTAGAAAGGCAGCAGAAGCTTCCTGTATGATTAGGAACTATCTTTCAGTAAATGCTGAACATCAGTATGTAATTGGAGCAGCTGCTGATTTAAGTAGTGATACAATTCAGTTTTTCAAATATGAAATGGAAAATTTTAAACATGTTGAATCATTAAGGACCATCTTATTTGAAACCAATCCTGAGAAGCTTGTCTGGGAGAAAGGTTGCCTTATTAGATGCGAGTTGGCTCTAAAGGTTCCCATTTATGCTCCTGAAAAAATAACATCAGGTATATGCTTTGTTTTTAGAATTTTGTTATTTGGAACAAGCACAGTCTAACTTTCTTTCTCTTCCTTATTTCCTTTTATATTACGTACTGCATTGATTGCTTTCCTCGTATACAAGAAAAATGCACCACTTCATGCTTGTAACTTCATTTAATAGAAGGCATACATTGAATTTTTATCAAAGCAATGCTTATTTAAATGGTTCAACAAAATGTAACTTTATATCTTTGTCTGTCGTGTACTTACAAATTGTCTTCGATGCTCATGTTTCTTGTTTTCCTCTAAGGTCTTAGCAGCTTTTACTACATCTCCATTATCTTACATGGAAATAAACTTTGGACTCAAACTTTCCGCCTCTTCTCTATGGAAATCCATTTAGAGAGGTTTTACCAAATTAACATAACTTTCTGTTATCTAAATTGTTAGGCAACATCTTTTTTTTCAGTTTTCAAACTGTCTCACGTGTGTAGGATCTGTAGAATGTTTAGATTAGTTAATTACCTTAGTTTTGTTTTTTTGCTTTGTTGGTTAGAAAAATGATATCCTGACTGACCTAAAAGATTTGTACTCACTGAAATTATCATTAGATACATAGCACGTATCTACAATCGGCCAGAAGTCGATTGTTGACGCACATGAAAATTTGCTCACAAAATAATATCAAAATATTCACATAAGAAGACAAAATTTTAGATATTTCAAGAGTTTGACAAATTCCAAGGCCTTTTTTAACTCTGTAATTTTAAATTCATGCAAGTTGGGTAAAATTTGATCAAATAGCAAAAATTGGATATTTTTAAGTTATATGCATACGCCACTAGACAAGTACCAAAATAACTTGAAACTCATACCTCACACAACTACAATGCATCACACAATAACAACATAATAAATGTATTGAAATACATGATAATTCATCTTGCAAGTGCATTGTTGTCATGACTTAACCCCAGGCCTAGAATTAACCAAAGCGAGAATGGACAGTCAAACGGTGAAATGTAAATATTTTTTCTATCACTAGGAATTTACAATACAACTATTAATTGAAAGAGTCACTAAAGAAAATAATTTAATTAACAAATAAAAATTACATTTCAGGTTGCTCATTTCACATTCTGTATATATTATCTTTTATAGTATTCATTTTATTTAAAAGTATAATTCTGAAAGAAAATGAAAATAACATAACGATTTATTTAAGATAACCCAGAGCAATTATACTTCTAAACTATAGTAATTCAAGGAAAAAGTGAAAATATATATGTTGGTCTTTTCCATTAATTTAAAAAAAAATCATATAATAATCTATATAATATATTCATGATATTTGCTCATGGTAATAAACTATAATTTTACATGCTTTAATTTTAGTATATATCATACTCTTAACTCTTATATATGTTCAGGAGCACCGTATAAACATAACCAAATGCACCCTTAACCGAAACATAATCCGTTGACACAACGGTTAGTTGAATATTTATACTATTGTCTGATTTGGAAATGTACCTACTCACCTCTGGATGATACTCTTTCATCGGCATAGCGATTAGAGATCTAAATTTCACAATTGTCTAAGATAGTAGAATGCATATTCACCCCTTGACATGTATTCTTCCATCGATACAGTAGTTAGTGATCTAAATTTCATAATTGTTTGTAGTGGCAGGAAAATATATATGCACATGAGTATGTTAAAGTCATGGATAATGTTGTTAGTCTTACTCGATTAATCCTTTAAGCTAATCACACTTACTCATTGGATAATGCTGTTAGTCTCACTCGATTAATCCTATCCTTCTCGTAGATGAGATTGAATCTCCACCCAACCAGTCGGATCCTTCTTCTTAAGTAGACTTGAGTTGATCACATAGAGTTCACATTTAGTGAATTTGATTCTTTTCATCATAAGGAGTGGAGCTAATGAAATAGTTGCCTTTATAATATTCAAATAACAAACATTGGTTAATTTGTAAATTTGAATTATATAAGTAGTTTGTACCTCAATGATGGTTATATCAAAAGCAAATCTAAATAAGAGGGTACTCTATTTTTAAAATTCCTCAAAGTTTAATAAAAATTATTTTGGGTTTAAATCCCATTAAAAATTTAAGAAATTATTAAATTTTAATATCTATGATCTTCAAAGTGAAATGCACCACTCTAAATCGGAGCAAAATTCATCCATCATTCACAACAATTTATCGATGATGATAAATTTAAGATTAATTTGAGCTCACAAAAAACCAATATTATATTAACTATATCTTTATGTTTACTCTCAAACTAATACGCGCTAATAAGAATGTGGTCCGAGTTTTTTCTCCATGTGTTTTGGCTAAAAAATGACTTCATAAAAATAGTGGTTATGGCTAGAGCTCTTTGGCTGGGTCATTTTATCGCAAAAAGTCATCATTATATTATAATTACAACTATAGCCCATGATTCATGACAACTCAGAATGATGAAACCATAAGAACTTAATTGAGTTCATTCATTCCCTGCACCATCCTCTATAAGGCTTATATAGATAAATTTTACTATTCTAAAACTTTGAATTGCTGCACTATATACTAATTCTAAATACTTATTATCTAAAGGACTAAACTTAATTGGAAGTTTTTTCTTATCATTAGGAGGATAATTAATCATAGGTGCATGTACTTATGGGAAACCTTTAATAAGCTCTTAAAGTCATCACAAAGTGAGGGGGAAATCTAAGTAGTTTTTTATCTACAATCCAATCTGTCTTCCAAAAATTTGACCAAAATGCAACAGGTTCTCTCATGAGAGGTTAGGGTACCAATTTTTGGTTCCCACACTAAACTTTTGAGCTAACTTGAGCATTGATAATTATGTATATGACTAGTTTAGTGAATAAATTATAGATCAATACATTTTTTTAACTATGAATAAAAGGTAATTATAAAAAGTGAGTGTATTTGATGCTGGTGCTATTTTTCGCCGAGACGGGTGGGATTCAATGGAAGGGGCAGGATTTTCTCCCTTGGAGATCCCATAATGGGATTTTTACCATCTGGAGCCAGTTTTGGGTCTTGTGGGTCTTATATCTAGCTTTTATTTACTTAGAATTATGGTTAATTTATGTCTTAGTACAATTATGTTATTTGAGAACTTAATTTAAACACTTTTGCTTTGGTTTATACTATTTGGAGACATTTTTCCTTGGTTTCTTCTATTTTAGAGTGTTTAGCCTATTCTTCTTCATGTGATGAGTCAGTATCTTAAAGGTATGGGTGGTAGAACCTTCTGACTCTTGTACACTTCCGCCATAATCATCGATCACAGTTCTCTTTTTTTTTTCTTTAGGACAGAAGCAACTTACATATTTTTTTACCTTCCAATTTCCATTGACTTTACATTTCTCATTTTGCTGTTTCTCTTTTTAGGAATCCTAACAAAATGTCATTTTGTATGAGAGCTAAATCTTAGATCCGGTTCTTGGGAATTAGTCTGTGAGGGCCCCAATTCATTTGTCGTATCTGCTTTGATTGGACACAGGAAGGATGGTTCATGAAATAAGCACCATGATATTAGTAGAGTAGTGGTCAAGATTATCATTAAGTGCTGGTTCCTCATTCTGAGATTGAATAACTTATTGGATCAATTGCATGGAGCTAGCATATTCTTAAAGATAAATTTGAACAATGGATATCACTAGATTTGGATGATGCTAAAAGATTAGTGGAAGACCACATCAATAAAAGAAATGGATGATATGAGTTGATGGTCATGCCATTTGGCTTGTTCAACGCCTTGACAGTACCTTTATGAGACTGATGAATCAGGTTTTCTAAGTTTTTATTCGAAAGTTCATTGCTGTGTATTTTGACAACATTCTGATGTACAACTATTCAGAGGGGAGGGTTAGCAACACCTATGACGAGTTTTAGGAGTTTTGAACACCCAAAAGAACTCACCCTCACTTCCTCTCTTAGATATGGTGGAGAGAATGTAAGGTTTGATGGAGGAAATCAAACATAAGAATGGTAAAAGGAAGAAGAAGAATATAGCTCTCTCTCTAGCTCTCCCTCAGCTCTAGAAAGAAAATCCCTAGACCAAAATGAGCTCTCCTCAGCCTGTTTTTAGATTGGCCTATTAGCACACCATGAAAAAAATGAAAATGGAGGGAATTTTCCCTCCAAATCATAAAATAATCTCCCTTTTCCACATGACATTCATCCCTTGGCTTTATGGGTGGTGGATGCCACATGTAACACTCCTACTTGACCTCCCAAACTCATCATTGTCAATGGGAAAGCCGTCAAGAATGAGGGAATAAATGCTAAAAAATTTGGGCTAGTCAAAGTGTTGGCTTGGCGTGAACATGCCCGAAATTGGCGTGGTCACGCCTGGCTAAAGCTTAAACCCTTGTTTTTCTGAAGGTCGGCGTGACCACTCTCGAAATTGGCGTGGTCATGCCGGTGTTCTGGCATGGCTACACCACACTAGTGGCATAATTATGCTGTGCTTTCTGTCTTGAGCACGATTTGGGGTCATTTTTGCCGTGAACATGCCAGAACTGGGCGTGTCACACCAGGTCAAAAATTAGGGTTAGGCATTAGGAGCACGACGGAGGTTCCGGACGAGTTCCCTTGACTCTTGAAGGTCCTGTGCAGATGGGAAATGATCTATAATCGTCAAAGAAGGCTTACGGAAGTGCCGTAATACCAGAATATCCCCTCGAAGTAGCGGTCATCCCCGAACGACACAAAGTGGTTAATTCTCACCCGGTAGTGCCCGTGGGCGAGTTTTGTGACTCCAGTTGGCCATAAACGAGTCTGGATTGATGAATACGGTCTCTAATCATCAAGACGTGTGTTAAACATGATTCGAACATAGCCAACCCCATCCCACGGTGAATTGACTCTGGGGGCAAAATCAATACTGATCCCGATTTCGTGCTCATGGCACGAATCAGGAGGTCTAGATGGGTATCATTACTTCAGGTTTGTATGAATGGACACCAGCTCATTCTGAG